TCGCTCCTCTTGTCTGTTAGGAAACTCCAGCTTTATCAAGAGCTGCAGGTGCATGCGAATCCCTCTCCTGGGGGACACGCATGTCTCAGTCATTGATCGCTGCAGTAACACAGGTACCTCTGGGGATGGTGTTAATAAACACAGCCGTTTGCTCCACTTGGGGGGCCTTGAATTCAAGGTGCTGGTTCTAAGGAGTGGTTTTCTCAGCTCTAGAGGAAGATTTTTGCTTCTTTCCACCATCTGTAGGCCTCTAATTCCTCTGTGTGTCTAGGTATCTGTCTTTTCCCGGGACTTGGAGGTTCAGTACACAGGGACCTGCGTCTAACGGAGACGCTCTGCTCCAGGCTCTTCTTTCTGGGAGTTACTGCAGTTCCTCTGGTATCTGCTCGGTTTCTTTCATATCTCAAAGCAGCTTTTCCTTTCTTTCATATGTAACAGTAAATTTCTATCTCGTAAGCAGCCTGATCCTGTAGATGACATCCTGCTCATTAACCTAATTGCCACCGATCCTGCCTCATTATCATAATGCTGCTGTCCACATGGGACTGACTCTGCAGCAGGTTCTCAGAGGCAGGAGATTGCCCACCTTTCTCCTGCAGAGTATCTGGGGGATTCAAACCTTGTGCCTTTGGATTGACAGCACCGCTCCTTACCACTAAACCACCATGGCTTGGTTGCCTTCGAGTCGAGCATGAGTCACAGCAACCGTATGAACAAAAGGCCTGAAGCCTTTCTATAACAAGCAGCATTTCTCAAAAGTTCATAGAGTTTCTAGAGGCATGTTGTTTAGGAAGTGGGTGTCATGCCTGCACAGAGGTGAGGATTTTCAGCACACTGTATAATTACCTCACAGGATGGGGGAGAAGCCCATAGTACTGAGCATTATGGCCCAGCTGAGCTGACACCTATTTTGAGGAGATGGACTTGAGTCTGTCACAGCCCCATATGGGCGCTGTCCAGGACTTGCAAGCCTCACTGATTGTACACCAGTCTTTTTTGAGTTGAGAGGTTGCAGGCTTTGCAAGGCAGTGGTGAGCAGATGAGGCCTCGCTGCTTGCCTGAAACATGCGTATTATTCCCAGGAGACGGTAGGCCGCTGCTGAAGGGGAAGGGCGCCAGGTGTGTGCCCTAGAACCTTCTCTCTTGAGACTGGGAGGAGCCTGGGTGCACTGAGGAGGCCCTGAGGGGTCCAAGCATCTAGATTACAGGTTAGGAAAGGCACAGCCCGGTGTGTGACCAGCCTCACCTCCTTTCTCATCATTTACCAAAGAAAGGGGAGACTTTCAGGGCAGGGAAATCAAAAGAGAACAGAAAATGAAGATGCTCTGAGGACAGAACCACGGCCATCTAGTTGGGTGGGTTTCTGGAGGCCTGGCCAGGAGTTCTGGTGGCTTAATGGTAAAAAGCCGCACCAAAGCCCTGAAGACAGTGCAGTTCACGTCCACCAGCTGCGCTGCCCGAGAGGGGTGGACAGGCTCCTTTGTGCGATTTACTGCCTCTGAAAACCTGCTGGAGGCTGAGCTGTGAGCTGGTTCTGACCCAGTGGCACACAGCAGCCCGAGGCCTGGCAGAGGCACATTCAGCCTCCGTCCCCTGACTGGTGGCCACCACACTGGCATCCTGGGCTCTGGCTTCTCCATAGCTGCACACGCTGGATCCCTCCTCCGTCCGCTGCATTCTGGCCCCTCCTTACTGTTCTCCGAGGAGAAGTTGGTGGTCAGCGTCCTTCTATGGGACTTCCTGAAAGACTCAAGAGCAGGCTTGGGCTGAGGTCCTGGCAGACCCTGCGTGAGCTGAGTGATTAGCCCGGACCCCTTTCTTAGCCAAATGTGCTGTTTTTCTGGCTTGGCAATCTCTCTCTCTCTCTCTCGATTCCAGCTCTCACCTCTGTGCCATTCAGCTGTGAGCGTCCTGGCTGGTTTTCCTTTCATCTTTAGCTTAGCCACTGTGTTTCACTAGTTGGAAGTCGCACTGTGTGGATAGTTTTTTTATCTTGTTTCTTGCTCCGTAGCATTATATCATCACCATTGCCCCACACCATTAAATAGTCTTTGAAATGGCTTTTCCTTGCCCCTCATTATTCCCTGATCATATATCTGGCCCCCATGTCAAGTAAAAAATCATGGCCAGCTCATAGCTGACCCTCCAGCAGGTTTTCACAAACTGTAAATCAAGTGCAAGGACATTGCTCAGCTTTGCTCCAGTGAAGCAGCTGGTGGGTCTGAACTGCCAGAGAGGACATCATGACCTTTGGGTCGGCTGCACAGCTCCCTCCGGACCATGCCCCCAGAGCCGCCAAGTGTCCACTGAAGCCGCCAGGGTGGGTTTGAACCACCAACCTTTCAACGAACTCAGTGTTTAACCTTCTGTGCCACCAGGACTCCTTACCCCCATGCTTAAGACACTTAAATGATACTTATCATTCTGTGGTACTTAGAAGCTGCATTGCAACCCCAAGGGCAAGCAGTTCAAATCCACCAGCTGCTCTGTGGGAGAAGGATTTGCAGTCGCCTCCCCTGTAATTTGCTGCCTCTGAAGACCCACTAGAGGGTCCACTGCCAGCCAGTTCCCACTCAGTGGTCACGACAGCCGCAGCCGCACGTGCCTTCGTAAATGCCATCATCCGGCGCAGATGGCCCTGCGTCCTTGGAATAGTGCTCACTCTGCTTTTAATCATACTCAGTGTAAATTTTAGTTGTATTATTTCATTTTACTAACTGTCCTTGTGCCGACTTAATGACTAGTTTAAGCTGCTTTGAAAGCGTGACTGTAGTCATGGGCTATGATTTTCATGAGTTAGATAGGTGTATTTTGAGCAACATACACTACTTAGAAGATGTTCTTTGGAGGTTTTTGTTTACCCTTTCTCTAGTTCAGTGAAAGACCTTGAATTGCGATTTGCCGTGTGCCAGGCCTGGAAGCTTCCGAGCTGCTGTGACTTGGGCTTTTGGGGTCAGTCCTGCCTGTTCCTCTCTCCCCAGCATCAGCCTGAGGCTCTGTCTTTGTGAGTTTCCCCATGAGTGCCCAGTTTAGGGCACGGGCCTCCCAGGCTGTGCCCGCCATGTCCAAGGCAGAGTGCCCCAGCGGAAGGACTGAGGCCTCGCCTGACGTGACCTTGCCCACCTGCCTCACCACCTCCCCCAAAGCCCCTGGTCATCTATCTGCTTGGAGCCTGCTGAGTTGCTGTTGTGTGTGGTGCTCGGTGCCAGGGTGGGTCTTGGGAGCAAGTCTACTCTGGTCCTTGCTGGCTGTGGTCCCCGCTGGCTGTGGCCCCCACTTGCTGTGGTCCCCATAGCTGTGGTCTCCACTGGCTGTGGTCCCCTTTGTAGGCTGCATCCTCACTTCCCCATCTTAAACTCCTGAGAGGACCTCTGTCAAGTGCCCCTGTAACCCTTTAGTGTAACAGCAGAAGGAAAGAACACAGGTCTTGTTACTTGACCTCCAAAAGCCTGTTTCCCCACCTTGGCTGTCATGATGCCCCTACACCAGATGTGTGAAGTCCAGGCCCACATGCTGCTTGGTAAGCACTGGGCATGGAAGCAGCTCCTGACTTTCACTTCTGGTTTGACTTCGGCCTTAGTTACCTAGAGCTGCTGTAACAGAAATATCGCAGGTAGGGGGCTCTAACAAGGAGAGGTCCATCTCACAAATTTGGAGTCCCAGGGCCCAGACTCAGGGCCCTGTCGCTCACAGGGAAGCCTTTCTGTATATCCAGTTCTGAAGAAGGGTCCTTGTCTCTTCAGAGCTTCTGCTCCTGGGCCGTTGTCACGTGGCTGGGCATCTCTCTTCCCCTGTCTCTGCTACTTGTTTAATCTCTTTTGTATCTCAGAAAGGATGGATTTAAGACCCTCCTACACTAATCCTGTCCATTGCCATACCACAGACAAACCATTCCCCGAGGGGGTTAAACTGCAGGCTTGGAGTTAGGGATCATAGGACACACTTTGGGGGCCCAGTCCAATTCATAACAATGACTGTCCTTCCACCAGCGACTCAGGCCACGGTCATCTTTGCAGTCACAGCTGCACAGTGTATAAATAGATGTGAATTGAAAAGAGAGTGCGCTCACAGGCCGAGGCCTAGCAGCGCTATGTGTTTCTTAGCTTCCTTTCAACATTGTAAACTTGAACGTAGGAACGATGTCAGATTTATCTCTACATCTCTCACGGTTCCCAGCATAGCACATGACTCCGCAGTAGGAAAACAGAAGATTCTTCTTGATTGTTTCACAAAATAAGGGTCCAAGTACAAAGTCAGCACTTCATAGCAAGGTCATTGATTTATTCATGCATTTAAGGCTTGAGCTTGCAAGTTTAAACTGTACGCTTAACTCTCTGTGGCCTGGGACTGGTTCCTGGAGTTTATAATTTCTTGAAATATCCTGTTTCAGTGAGAACCTAGTGACCATGTGATCAGCAGCTGCTTTTGTTGATGTTAGAGTTTTTGTGGAGGGAACATAACCCGTATGTAAGAGCTCAGGGTCTGTTTGCATATTCTTCAAAGGGTGGGCTTCAGATGAACAAGTCTAGCCTGGCAATGCCCTTCGCCCCATCCATCCTTGACCTTCAGAAGGACTGAACGTCTCCTGTCATGGTTTTAGTCTTCAAGGTCTGGTCTCAGGTGACAGAGTGTTGCTAGTACGGGACAGAGCTTTGTCCCTGACCTCGCCATGGGCCAGAGCAGGGCAGGTTGGTTTCTGTCTGTACAGGGAAAAAGCATCTGGGGTGAAAAGCATTACTCCGGGCTTTCCTAGGAGGCCCTGTGGCCGGCTGGAAAGAAGGCCTGCCCAGGAGCGCTGCCTGGCCTGGACCCTTGGTCCTACTTGGCCTCGCCCTCCCCCGGGACTCCTACCTCCCCAGTCTCAGCCTCGCCTCTGGGGGTGAGGTAGGACGTGCACCCCGCTCCACTGTCTTGTGTCTCGAGCGGGCTGGTAGTGTGTGGTCATCAGGCTGGCCACAGGCCTCTCAAATCCCGCTTTCTCTCTGTTATCTATGAACCAGAAAATGACCACTGGCGAGACCTGGACAGGAAGTGCCCGCTGCAGATTGACCAGCCACGTGCCAGCCTCTGGGAGTGCCTGCCAGAGAGGTGTCCGGAGGGCAGCCTGTGGCACAGAGAGGCGGTGACTGCTTGTGCGGTGACCAGCCTGATCAAGGACCTCAGCATCAGTGACCGCAATGGCCACCCTTCCGCACCCCCTAGCAAGCGCCAGTGCCGCTCCCTGTCCTTCTCAGATGAGATGTCCAGCTGCCGGACATCGTGGCGGCCCTTGGGCTCCAAGGTCTGGACTCCCGTGGAGAAGAGGCGCTGCTTCAGCGGGGGCAGCGTCCAGCGCTACGCGAGCGGCCTCAGCACCGTGCAGCGCAGCTCCAGCTTCAGCCTCCCCTCTCGGGCCAGTGCGCTGCCCTCGGCCCGCGACCACTCCACCTGCGACCAGGCCGGCCTTCCCCTCCACCCCAGAGAGCAGCCCGGCCGGGGGGCCCTGGGCCCAACCACCTGCGACCAGGCCGGCCTTCCCCTCCACCCCAGAGAGCAGCCCGGCCAGGGGTCCCTGGGCCCGGCCACCTGCGGACAGGCGGGGGGTCTGTGGAGCCCCGACCCAAGCCCTCTGGGAGGGGGCCGTCTTGACGTGCAGCGGTCCCTCTCCTGCAGCCACGAGCAGTTCTCCTTCTCCGGGTACTGCCCCCCTTCAGCCAGCAGCACCCCGGCCTCCACACCCGAGCTGACCAGACGCTCCAGCGGCCTCTCGCGAAGCCGTTCGCAGCCCTGCGTCCTCAATGACAAGAAGGTCGGCGTGAAACGGCGGCGCCCTGAGGACACGCAGGACCAGAGGCCTTCCCTCGACCTGGCCAAGATGGCACAGGTAAGACCCCCAGAGGCAGGTGCTGCAGGATGGGGCAATGCCAGGAGAGCTGCGCCGGCCCAGCCCCCTGGCCAGAGAGGCCATCCCCACTGCTGAGACCCCCAGTCTCTTAGGGTCCAACTCAAACATGAGGTTACCCCCGTCTGGTCCTGTTCCTGTTATAAATGCCTGTTTCTCTGAGTTGACAAGGAGAAGTGCCTTTTCCCTGTGACACACCTGCAGTCCGCTTGCTGGGACCCCAGCCCTGTGGTCATCGTGGGGAGTGTGTGTTCACACCCAGCTTCACATCGCTCAGACCAAGTGTCCTGAGAGAGGACGAGAGGGGACACCACTCAGTCCTCTGATTAACCTATGCAAGTGGGAGGTCAGAGAGAGGCTGTGACGGATAGCCTCTGTGGCTGTCCTCTGTCCACTGACCACACGCCCTGTCACTTGAGCCTTTGTCTTGAGGTCCATCCTGTGCTGACACTGATCTTGGGGGTTGGTTTGACTGCATTAAGCCTGGAGTTGAGACTCCATCGTCAGGACGTTGTCTGAGTCTCTGCTGCTCCTCAGGGTGACGTTGTAGCTGTGAGGCCTGGGGAAGCGGGGTGGCCTTGAGGTCTGGGAGTCGGGGATGACAGGGACGGGCCAGTGTGAAGGGTAGAATGAGATCTTGTGGCCCTGGATTCAGGAAGCTCCAGGTAGCTTGGTGCCCCAGTCTTTTCTGGTCTTGTGTTTGTGTGAGGTGGTGAGGAGGTGCTGAGAGGGCATGCCCAGTGTGTGGTACTGCAGTGGCCAGGCCTGGCGTGGGAGACTGCAGTGTCCACTCTGCGTTGGACATTTCAATACATTTTCTTTTGTCACTTGAGTGAAAATGCACTTTCTGTAGGATCCCTTCTCTAGCCCCATCCCTTCTCCAGGAAGTGGGGAGCCCCCAGCCAGACCTTCTCTGGCCCTAGAACTTCCGTGGCCTCTCCAGACTTTATGTAAAAGCCAGGGCTGCTGGAAGACCAGCTCGAGATAAGTCCAAGTGCCCCCCCAGCTGAGACCACTGGGCGAGGGGCTGGGTGCAACCCTCTGGCCCTCGCCTCCAGTGTCCATTTCTTCTGTCCATCTCTAGGCTTGGCCTGCCCTTCCCCCAGCACTGGGCATTTTAGATGTTGCATCTGGACAGTGATTGAGCACATGTTTATATTGGACAAACAAGTGGATTTTTTTTTTCCTCTGGAAAAAATGTCAGTAGGTAGAAATCCTGGAGTAATGGTGGATTTGAGCGCCTTCTGAAAGAATCCCTGCGTGCTGGGTGTGTAAACGGCTTCAGTTAGATGTTTAATGCTGAGCTTATTTTATTAGCTAATAAGCTAGGTAGGTAATAAAAACAACTTACATATGTTATTACATTTTATTAGCCACGACTTGGAATAACACTATTGGCATCACCAGAGATGTTGTCTGTCCTCCGTTTAGCAAAAATGGTTTAAAAGCACGTTGCTCAGTGGGGCTGCCTGAGTTGTAGACTGTGTCTCTGGGTCCTCATGGAGAGGGTGGGGGCTGGAGGAGACCACCAGGACTCCCTCTCTGCCCTGGGCACCTGCCAGAACCCCGGGAGCTGTAGCTAATGGACCCTGAGCCCTTTGCCCCAAGCCACCCCTCACATGGTTCCACCAGCCTTGCCTCCTGCAGGGTCTGTGTTCTCAGGAGATGGCCTGCCTTACAGAGGGCCCTTAAAACCAGGCCATGGCCTGGTCTGGAATGTAGGGGTGTGGGTTAGGGTCCAGTGAGCTGGGCGTGTACCTCCACCTGGCACGCTGTCTGGCATGCCTGTAGCTGCCAAGAAGGCAAGCAGGGCCTGTGTGTCCACAGAAGAAGTAGCCACAGCTGCACACACAGCTGTCGCTCTGCTCCGTGCTCCTGCCCTCACTCCCTTGGTCTGGACTCTGAGCTCTCTCGTGTGTCTTTGGACCTTGGTTTATTCAGTTGCTTTTTGGAGACTGGAAGGAGAAGGCTTCCCATTGAACATCCTGAAGAAGGGGGACCCTTAGAGCTGGGTTCTGGATGGATGTGTGGGGGCCACAAAGTCAGGGTGCTCTCGTGAACTCCTGGGGGCTGCCGGACAGAGGGGTCAGGGTGGCTCAAGGGAGGAGGGTCTCCAAGCCCCCACAGCCTGTCAGCAGAGAAGGGGCCAGGGAGAGAGCCTGGGAAGGACAGCAAGCTCAGAGGCCCCAGCTGTCCAGTGTGTCCACACTTGGAGTTAGTTTAGCAGGAAGAAGGGCTTTGAGGTCAGGGTGCGTGAACGCGTCATCTGTGAAGTAGAGGAGCCCGTCGTGTTGACCCACAGTGACCCCATGAACCTTGACCTGACCTGCGCCATCGTCATGACCTCCGTCCTGCTTGAGCCATTTTTGTAGTTGCTCCGTCAATCCATCTCATTGAGAGTCTCCTCTCATTCTCTGCCCCTCTATTTTCCCCTCAATATTTTGTCTTTTTCCTAATAACATGCCCATAGTTGAAAGACACAGTTTCACCCGTCTTGCTTCTGAGGAGTACCCAGTTTGCATTTCCTCTGAGCCAGGCTTGTTTGTTCTTTCGGCAGCAGTCGTCAGGAACACGCATCGATCTGGACTCCACGCTGTCTTCAGTCCCCTCCGACAGCACCACAGGTCGGAGACATCAGGTCTTCTTTGGTCTTCCTTCTTCATCGTCCCAACTTCCAGATGCACAAGAAGCAGCTAAAAATTCCCTTACCTGTGGCACCCTAGTCTTTAAAACTGCTTTCTTGCTTTTTAAAGCATCTTTGACATCAGATTTATCCAGTGCCACGTCTTGATTTCTTGACTGGATCCGAGTAAAATGAAATCCTTGACAGCTTTCGTCTTTTTTCCATCTCATGATGAGGATTTTTATTTTCTGGATGTTGAGTCTCCGAGTTTGTTTAGTAAGTGCTTCAAGTCTTCACTTCCTGCAAGCAAAGTGTGTCTTCTGCGTAAAATAGCTTATTGGTGAGTCTTCCTCCAATCCTGATGCCACATTCTTCATAGAGTGCAGCTTTTCAACGTCTTTGCTCCACATACAGATTGTCCCGGTGTTGAAAGAGGATTCAGCTCTGACGCACACCTTTCCCGAGTCCGGACGGTGCCGTGTTCCTTTGTGTCACTCGTCTGCTCGGCAGCTGCGGCTTTGTCTGTGTGTAGGCTTCCTGTCAGCGCAGCGGAGTCCTCTGGGCTGCCCATTCTTCTCAGTGTTCTCTTCAAGGCTCTCCTTGAAGCCACCACGTCAGAGTGGACAGGGCTCAGGGCTTTCTGGTTTTTCTCTCCCAGGAAACCAAAACCCCTGGGTCTGAGTCTACCCAGAACCTTCTGGAACTCGATATTTCCTCCGGAGCCACATTTACCAGAAAGTATTCAGAGGAGGGCTGATGGGGTAGGGGCCCTGGGTGGAATAAAAAGGAATGGGGCTGCTTGGCTTGCCGGTGGAAGCAGGTATGAGGGCCAGCTGCAGCCCAGACTGTTCGGCCAGAGCCCGGCTCTGCCACTGATCAGCTGTGCAGCTCTGGACCAGTTGCTTCCCCTCTCTGTGCTGCAGATGCATGTATGTGTGCGTAATGTGTTTGTATATGTATGTGCCTTTGTCTGCTATGCGTGTGCATCAGGTTTGATGGATTGAAGCCACCTAGCAGTTGTGAGAGAGAAAGGCAAGGCCACCTCACCTGGGAATGAGGACTTTTCTTTTCTGGATGTGGAGTTGTAACCCGTATTGAAGGCCGTAGTCTTTTTTTGTAGCTGATCTGTCAGTCCGTCTCATTGAGTCTTCCTCTCATTCTCTGCCCCTCTATTTTCCCTCAACATTTTGTCTTTTCCTAATAACTTGCCCATAGTTGAGAGACAGTTTTACCAGTCTCACCGTGGGCTGCTCTGCTCTGTCACGTGGAATCGCTCTGAGTGAGAATCGGCTCGTGCACCCAGCTCTGCGTGCTGTGTGTCCACTTCTCCCTGAGAGTCCCTCTCTGTGCGTCCTCTTCCCTTCCTGTCCTTGCCATTAGCCTCTTTGTCCCCCTTGTCTGTGGGGCGCTCCATGTTCTGTGTTCAGAGCTGAGGGGCAAGGCGTCCTCATCACTGGGAGATAGGTGGTTCTGGGGCCCCTTCTCCTGGCTTCGTCCCTGGCACAGGTGCCGGCCGCAGAAGTAGGATGGGCATAGCTGCCAGGTTAGAAATTGCTTTCTAGTTGCCTTTGCTCCCATCTTTAAGCCCCCAGAGCTTAGATTTGGTACAGGTGAGTCTGTGGTGACCCAACCATCTGGTCTTTGAGTGAAAGAAGCTCATTGTAAGGAAGAAAGTCCCAGTGCAGGGAAATGATGCCGGGACCTGTTCTAGAAGCCTGGTGCCCTAGGTGCCTGTGGTTACAACAGGTGGATCTGCAGTGCCCTCGCCCCCCACCCTCTCCTTGAAGGGCTTTCCACCTCCATGTGGTCTCCCTGGGACTCTGCTGCCTGGTGTTTGGGTAATGCTGCAGTCTCCTGTCATGGAGGACTGTGTGTGCTCCCATGTGCTGGGTCCTGGGACCTCCTGGGTAACGCTGCAGTCTTCTCTCATGGAGGACTGCGTGTGCTCCCATACGCTGGGTCCTGGGACCTCCTAGCCTGTCTCGTGCTTGGCCAGCATTTCTAGCTGATGCTTCCCTAAGACCTGGTCTGCCCACCCAGCCCTAGCTGTCTTCTTGGCCAGACGTGGCCATGGATCACATGCATGTGAGCAAAGGTTTCCTAAGAGACAACAACGAACCCCATTCCCTGAGGCTGCCACGCCCCTGCTGGAGTCTTAACTCCAAGCTGCTTGAAAGAGCCGCAGATTGTGGTTCTCAGCAGCTCTGCAGATAGAAATGAGCCTTCTGGGGGTGGGGGGATGCCAACACAGAGGGGCGATTGATTGCAGCTCCCACATGTGGAGCCCCCGAAGTTCCCTGAGCATCTCAGAACAGGCGTCCCTTGTGCTCACAGACGTCCCAGGGACCCGGGAAAGCTG